CTCTGGCTGCAGATAATGATATTCATCGCTGCCATTTCGAGGGGCGTTGTAACTTCCTAGGATGTTAGCTTCTGAAGTCATAAGGCAAAGGAAAATCAACATCAAAATTATGCCGGAAACGGAGCCTTAAACCTCCTGTAAAGTACGGTCTCCAAGACACAACCTTTCATATCCACTGCTGTAGACGAATATGCATGTATGATATTTGATGCACACGGAAATGTATGATACAAAATTTTAAAATACATATGTAAAATACAATTTAATGGTATTTCTAATTAAACTATTCATATTGTAATTACTCCCTCTATTTTTCTCTTGGAGTTGGAGGACAGCAGTGGGGACGAGAGTGGAGCGTGGAGTTCATAAACGTTCAGTGCTTGGTTGCTGCAGCTCCATGGTATGAGACACCTAATATGTGCCGGGTCTATTTCCTCACGACCCCTCCTTTAGACCAGGGGTCGGTGACCTTTCTCTGTAAAGAGCCAGACAGTCAATATGTCTTACTTCATAGGCCATAAAGTCTCAGGCACAACTATTCGACTCTGCCACTGAAGCAGGAAAGGGGCCACAGACACTTTGTAAACACACGGAGGCGGCTGTGCTCCCATCGCACTTGACACACAGAAACAGGCAGCAGGCTAGACGTGGCCCACGGGCCATCGCTTCTGGACTCCTGCTTCAGATGGACAGAATGATTCCCACTCTACAAACCAATGATGAAATACAAAACAGACGGAGGGTGAGTGACTGAGCTACTCACTCAAGGCCACACAAATGCACCTCGTTAAACAGTAGGCCTCGGTGTGCGCCCAGTCACCATCACACTCTCAGCCTGAGCATTAGCATGGTCACTGTCACCACCACCACCACTGTTATCGCCACTATCGTGTGAGCCCACCGTAATCACTGTATACCCCGCATTGAGCTCCAGGCTAAGTAGGTAAATCAACTCATTCACTCTTCCTGGCTACCCCACGAAATAGGTACTGTTATTATCCCACTTATCGGAAGAGGGCACCCCAAGGTGAACCCCAAGGAGGTTAAAGAATGTGTTCAGTGTCCCATAGCTACTGTACAGGAGCCCTGATTTGAATCTGGGCGGTTTGGTCCCAGGGCCTGAGTGCCCATCTGCCATGCTACACTGCGCCTCAGTCGGATCTTCACGGACAAGTACAAGAAGGCCAGAATGTGCCAGGGAGGAAGACCGATTTAAGCAACGCAATCTTTCTGCGACACAGCGTTTTGATGTTTTTTGGTCTCTTAAAGCAATTAATGAGAGGCTAAAGGAAGATAGAGTTCCCTACTAGCAAGATAAATGCCATAAAATGCCAAACGTGGAAAGGCAAACTTGGCAGTCAAAACTTGCTCCCTGCCCTGACTGGTGTGGCTCAGTGGGCTGGACATCGTCCCACAAACCAAAAAGTCACCGGTTTGATTCCCAGGCAGGGCACATGCCTGGGTTGCAAACCAGATCCCAGGTTGGGGAGTGTGAGTAACGGCCGATGGATGTTCCTCTCACATCGGTGTTTCCCTCCTTCTCTTCTTCCTTCCCTTCCCCTTCCTCTAAAAAATAAATAAATAAAATCTCTGAAAACAAACAAACTCACTCCCATCTACTCAGGTGAAATGCTCAGCCTTGGTAGGCAAGGCTGGGCTTTGGGGAATAAGGAGCCAGTGGAAATCCTGCAGCCAAAGAGGGCCCTGCAGGGACCTCCCCATCACAAAGGAATTCTGAACAAAGAATTCTTTCTTCCCCACTGAGTTACTAAAATAAGCTTATTTCTTCTGTTGTCCAAATATGAGGACTCACACTGCTCGTTTTACATGTCTATGCAATTTGATTTAAATGACAGAAGATGTCCCACTGAGATCCCACTTTCTCTCACCTCTCTGGCCAAAATCCAGAGGCTTGACAGTATTCTGTTGGCGAGAGGTGGGAAGAAGGCACCTCTGAGCATCGCTGGAAGGAGAAGAGGATGGCACAGCCCCTCTGGAGGATATTTTGGCAATATCCTCAAAAGTACCCATGTATTTTCCCTTTGGAGCTGACAATATGCTAGGAATCTACTGTGAAGAAGTATCTCCACAAACAGGAAAAAAATGCATGTACAAGGTATTCACTGTAACATAATCCACAATAGCAAATATTAGAAATAACCCGTAAGTCCAAGAGTAGGGACTGGCTGAATAAATGTGGTGAATCTACACAATGCAATGGAACACTATGCAGTTAGAAGAAAGAATAGGTAAGCTCCTTATATATTTGGTCGTTGGCCATATGTTAAGTGAAAAAAATCAAGAGGTGGAAAGTACATGTAGTATTTAATTTTTCTCTAAGGAAGAAGGAAAATAAGAATGTATATTCATATTGGCTTTACTGGTACAATGAATCACCCAGAAGGCACCTGCATAAGACTGACTTCTCAATGTACATTTTTTGCATTGTTTTTATTTTTGAATGATTATTTGGATCTATTTCCTATTCAAGAAACTAAAATAAACTTACAATATTAAATGTCCAAAAGGCTGGCTCAAACTTTTTGAAGATATAATATAACAAGAAATGCTGCCAACCTCCCCGTCCGAGGTCCGAGGGCGGTGGTCTATGGAAGTGAGATGTACTAGCCTCCAAGAACCTTGGGACCCAAAGCTTGCGGGAAAGAGAACACAATATTTTCAGAAAACAAACCGCCTTCTTTTAAGAGATCAATTTGTAATGCATGAGAGATAAGAATGAAATGACAAAATGGTTTCTGGAAACAACAATTTCTTAGCTAAGCCAATAGGTTACTGGTGACCTGCTCATTTATCTGAGGGCGAAGTTTCTATGAAACGGCTGGACGAAATGAGAAATAAAAAATTAAAGGGGAAGGATACTCGAGACCTGTTCTAACAGGCTGTCTGGGAATCACGGTGCCCTAGTGCTTCCTAAGCAGCTACCCCTGTAGGTTTGACGGCTCTTGGGATTCCCCGTCATGTGCAACAACAAAGCCACTTGGCTCAGAGAAGCCAAGTAACTTGCCTGAGGTCACAGAGCAAGGAGAACCCTTAGCAATGAGTCAGTCTGGCCGCCAATCCCGTGTTCACTACACCCTGCTGCCTGCCAGCACACCTCCTTCATTCCAGGCAGGGGTGCACCCAGCTCCACTGTCCGTGCTACCCTCACCCCCACATGCCTTCAGCTCCACCCCAGCTTCTGAGCCTTGATCCTGACTTCACCTGCAGCTTATGCAAAGACAAGTGTGGTGCAGTAAAAGGGGGCAGGGGCAGCCTGGGGAGGAAATCACCGTTTGGCTCCAGCTGCGGGTTTGCATTCAGGAACGTAGGCTGAGTTTTGTTGGACTAGATATTTCCAGAGAAGTCCAGTTTTATGAGAAAGCTTCTAATTTCTATTTCATTTTTTTAAAGATTTACTTATTTAGAGAGAGAGAGAGAGAGGAAGGAAGAGAGGAAGAGGAGGAGAGAAACATCGATGTGGGAGAGATAACATCAGTCAGTTGCCTCTCGCACACCCCCAACTCGGGACCTGGCCTAAAACCCAGACCTGTGCCCTGACTGGGAATTGAACCAGCAACATTTAGGTTTGCAGGTCGGTGTTCAATCCGCTGAGCCATTCCAGCCAGAGCAAGAGAAAGCTTCTAATTTTTAAATGCTGACAAGTAATTTAAAACAATTTTTTAAAGTTCTGTACAGCCCCAACAAAACAGGCCTCTAGTTTCCAACATAAGAGGTAACCGGGCAGAAGACTGGAAAATGTCTGGCTCTTTGCACTATTTCTTTTTTCAAAATATTTTTATTTATTTATTTATTTTAGAGAGAGGGGAAGGGAGAAAAAGAGGGAGAGAAACATCGATGTGAGAGAGAAACATCAATAGTTGCCTCTCATACACGCCCTGACCAGGGACTGAACCCACAACCCAGGTATGTGCCCTGATCAGGAGTCGAACCCGCAACTCTTCATTTTGCAGGACGAAGCCCAACCAAATAAGCCACACCGCTCAGGGCCTATTATTTCTTTGGCTCCACGCCATGGACCCTTTTATTGGGGTCGGGGAGGCCTCTTTGAAGAAATATAACAACAGAAATCTGCTAGACAAAGAGCACGACTGCTGGGAAGCCTGGTGAACACCGGCGCTGGGACACATCTCCCCTGCGAACCCCCACGTGCGCCTCCAGGCTGGTTCTGGGCCTTTCGGTTACTTCTGTCTTCTGAAAGCCTGCAACAATATCCCTGCCACTCTTCCTTTGCATTTTGTGTGTAACTCAAATTCCCAGGGCCTAGTTTACTGCCAAATTACCTGAGATAAACAAGCCATGCTAAGAGCCTCTTTTCCTTTCCAAACCTAAACAACAGCTGGCAGCTGGAAATGGTTATTTATAACCTGCACACCAATATGTACATTTGCTTGTTTAGAATCGCTTAGCCATGCATTCGGAAGCTGGCCTGACAGATGAGAGCCTGGGGACTCTGCTATGCAGTGGCTAAGAGGGTTGGACATGGGGTCAGCCTGTTTGGGAATCCTAATTGTCTCCATTCCATTACAATCAATCGTCAGGGTTAAGACAGTACATGTGAAACACCTAGAATAGTGCGCTGTGCATGGCAGGCACTTAGAGCTTAGTAGTTTCCTCACCCAGAAACAGCCGGCTGTTCATGGATCTCATCAAGTTCTGTTGCATTCTGGCACCCAAAACTGTCCGTTCCTCTCCATCATCCCTGTGTGAACCCTGCCATCTTTTTCACTAGCCACCAGGTTAGGTCTCTTGTCTCCACTATTGCTGGGCTTTTCCCAGGGAAGCCACCTAAAAATAAGCCTGTATCATATGTCTGCTTGATGCTCCAGTGTGTGTCCCTCTTCCCTTACTTGCATTTACACCCCTGCAGCTCCCCAGTCCTTCATCTGCTCCTTGGACTCAGGATTCCTTCCTGCCTCAAGGCCTCTGCCCTCATCCTCTTGGTCTTCTCATCAATCAGCTCTCAGCTTAAAGTGACTGACCTCAGAGTGAAGAGCCCCCAGTCTTCTCTGCTTTAATCTGCACACCGCTCATCTGATCAGTTTCTTGATATGTTTGTGGTCTGTCTCCTCCACTATCAGCTTTGTGAAGAGGAGGCCACTGTCTGGCTTTTCTATCATTGAGTTTCCCTCACCTGCAACAGTGCCTGGAATGGAGTAATGATACATCAGTAGACTTTCCTGGAACTGATGGCTGCGTGAATGACCAAATTTCTGAAAGGACAATGCCAGAAGGGACCCAGGCATGACGACCTCTGGGACAGCTGGAGAGACTTCGCCGTCTCTCACAATGCGGTTTTCTGACCCTTTCCCCTGCTCTTTCTGGGATGGTGAAGCAAAATATGACAAAGTAAGTTTAATACACCATTGGAGATAATGGAAAAATATTGATTTTTCTTCATTTGAAATAGTGAAATTAAGTAAACGCCACAGTTCTGTAATCTGGTCAGTGGCCTGTGTGGCAACCTGCTTCCGGACCAAAAATGGACTTAGGTCTACTTCTGTAGCCACCATGCAAGTCTCCACACCCATTACCACCGCACCCCCCAACCTAGCCCCATCCTCCCATCCGCCCCCCCTGCAGAAAAGCAGTGATATTGCATTTGTGAAAATACAGAGTGGGACAAATGTAGGTTTATAGCGTGAATATGCAAAACCGAGCTTATTCTTGTATTATTATTTACTATTGTATTATTTTCCACACAAACTATAAACCTACTTTTGCCCTGCCCTGCCTATGTATACCCAAACTAAAGTGTCTTCTGAGTATTTGCATCCACCCCCAAAAAAATGACCTGCCAAAGCTTGGAAAACTTGAGAAACGGTGCATGAAGCTCCCCTGGAATCCTAAGGGAAAAGGGGCATTTTTCCTTGTGACAGCTAATTTTTACCAAGAGCCTATTAAGTGCCAGGCGCCATTCTAGGGTCTTTAGATGGATGAATTTATTTGATCCTCAGCCCTGTGGGAAGGTCATACTATCAATCTTCATTTTACGATTTAAGAGTCTAGGCACTGAGAGATGAAGTAACTAAGTCCCCTGAAGTCACATGGCTGGTAAGAGGAGTCCTCACAATTCAAATCCCCTCGGTCTGACCCAACAAATCCTCCCACTCCTCACCACAACGCGACTCGCATGGATAGTGAGCACAGAGAGAGACAGAGACAGACAGACAGACAGACATGGGATCAGAAGGGGTGAGGGAAGAGGAGGGGAAGATGGGGGAATGAGGAGAGAGAGAATAAATGAATCTAACTCTCTGCCCTGGTTGGCTAAATTCTACTCTGCAGGCTTAAAGTAAAACCTCCATCTCAAAGGAAGCAAACTGCAGAGCTCCCCGCAGAGTAAACTCACTGGGAGGAAGACTTGCTGGGGTGGGGGTGGGGGAGCAGGCTGGACTGGAGAGACCCGGGCCTGTCCTCCCACTCCTGGGCTGCCCGTCAGGACACTCCAGTCCCCATGCCATGGCCTCCACATCGGAGAAGTAACAGTGATCAGACTAGATCTAAAGACTGAGTCTGGCCCATAGACACTGTCTGGTCTCCATGTTTAAAAAAATATTTTTTTCAGCCAACATTTATTTTTTCTTTTAAAGATTTTAGTCACTTATCTTTGGAGGGGAAGGGAAGGAGAAAGGGAGAGAAATATCAATGTGTGGTTGCCTCTCATGTGTCCCCCACTCGGAACTGGCCTGCAACCCAGGCATGTGCCCTGACTGGGAATCGAACCACGATCCTCTGGTCTGCAGGCCTGCGCTCAATCCACTGAGCTACACCAGCCAGGGCTCAGACAACATTTAAATCTTAGTTCTAGATTCTTATGAAACACGGGAAGATCTGGCATCACAAGGCCTGCATTCCTGCCTGTGACAGCTGGCAGGAGCATGGCGCTCTGGCTCCCCACCCCCACAGGGTGTCTCCCTGCCACAGAGGGCAAGCCCAAGTTGCCATTTAACAGCAGATCTGAGAGGTTTTTTCCCTCTACAGTGAAGATGAAAGTGATGGCTCACGTGTCCATGTCTCCAGCAAAAGTGAGGACCACCACCGCCACTGTCACGTCACACTGCTAACACTGACCTATGTCCTCATTGTGTGCCAGGCCTTTGTGTCTATTAATGCAGCTAATTCTCACAACCACCCCAGGAGGACGATATAGCTATTATCTCTATTTTATAGGTGATGGAGAGATGAAGAAGGGCACATGTTTCGAGAAATTATAGCCCTGGCTGGTGTGGCTCGGTGAATTGAGTGCCAGCCTGCGAACCAAAGGGTCACTGGTTGGATTCCCAGTCAGGGCACTTGCCTGGGTTGCAGGCCAGGTCCCCAGTTGTGAGGGGGGACGTGCAAGAGGCAACCACATATTGATGTTTCTCACCCTTTCTCCCTATACTTTCCCCTCTAAAAATAAATAAATAATTTTTTTAAGAAAAGAAATGATAGACAACAGATTTCTTTACAAAAGTGAAGTGTATTCCCAGGTACACAAAGTGTATTTAGGTGTTGAAGTAGCCTGGCACAGAGCTGCATGATAAAGTAAGTCCTGGCCACTGCAGCCATGTGCGTCACCTGCCTGTGTCCTGCAGGCTTCTCACTTGTGATCCCTGCATGGGACCCCCAGGGCTCTGAAATACATCGGTCACCAAAATGAGATCCTGGACTAGATGTCAAGTCCATTCCTGCTCTAGCTTTGTGATTTCAGGTGGGTTCGTGAAATGCATCTAGTTAGTTTTAGAATTAGGAGGAAACACAGGCACAGAGAATTGCAAATTCACTTAAACTTTAGGAAAGTGTGGTGGGGCCTGCAGGGGCCCTGTGGTCGGGACCAGACGTCTGTGGTTCTCCAGCTTCCTGCCAGGTGCTGCATTCACCCATAACTTTCCTGTTCTCAAAGGACATGTCAGGGGCCGTCTCCAGAGAATCCATCAGCTAAGGGTGGTCCAGGCAGCATCAGGTTCCAAAATAAAACTGGAGGTGAGAGTGACAGTGACCACTGGGAGAGGAAGTGGCAGGACAGGAACGTGAGTGAGGGGGGACAGAGCAGAATAAACAAAAAGGCTGGTGGGTATAGGAAAGGTAGCTAGGACAAGGGCACATTAGAACTGAGTTCAACTGCTCCAAAGACGGTGCCTGAGGGAACCATACTTGTCCACTGGAGGAAGAAGAACCAGTCAGGCCCCTGGAAACCTGGCCTGCTGGGTTAGCTGCAAGGGCCTTTTCTCTGTCTGCTCTATGGAGACCAGCTAACAATTCACTAAAGTACAAACAGGTTCATCTCCTTCCTGGCTTACCATGTCAACTCAGCAAACACTCATGGACATTGCCCCGTACCACTCCTTGGGTCTGGTGTTGGGCGTAGAGAGGAATAAGAGTGGGTCTCTACCTTGAAGAGGAAGAAAAGCATGGAGCCCATGGAACGACAGCATGATGCATGAGGAGCTATGTAATCCCGCCCCGCAGGAGGAGCTAATGCTTCATCAAGTGATGTCAGTCACTGTCATCTACAGTGTGGACATGACTTGAAAGAAGGGCACAGGTGGCAGGGAAACAGCATGGGCAAGACACAGGGGTGGGGAAGAATATGATGTGTTCGGAGAAGGCCGGCTTCCCAAGGTGCCTTGGGCAGGGGGTGAAACCTGAGATGCCTGCAGTGCCAGGCCACATTCCCAGTGCAAAAAGTAAGCACTTGACAGGCTCAGAAGAGGCCAAACTGCCATTACACGTCAGCTATCAAGGAGCCAGCCACAGCTCAGTGCTGAGAACCAGGGCTGTGACTGACGCCAGGTCCAGCGGGGCCAAAGCACCCTTTCATCCAGAGACTAAAAAGTCCAGGGTTTTATGGGCAATCTCTGTTTTTAAAGATGAGAAAACACAGCTCCAGACCCAATTCAGCCCAGCATAAAAACTCTGGGCTTGAGAGTGGGTGGGTGACTATTTAAAGATGAGGCTGGAGACCAGCAGACCAACCAAAGGACAGAGGCAAGGGAGGGGAACAGCTTCCCCGGGAAATCCCCCAAGTAAATGGGGGGACACATCCGCTATGTCCACAGAGCAACGGTGAGGACCACAAGGGCCAGGCTGTCCAACACCCCACAGGCCATCAGTCAGTCCTGTGGCATTGAAGACAACTGATACTTTCTTATCCTTATAGAAAGTGCACTGTAAAAAGCTCCAAGCTCCTTCTAACCAACCATATGGCTCACTGTATCCCTTTCCTACTTGGAAATAAAGAAACAGCCGAGGTCAGATCCTAAGGAGGGTATGCCTTTTAAACTGTGCTTATTCTTCTACTAGACTACAGGGAAGGCCTCACCTGCAGACTCACTCTTCAGATGAGGACCTGGCCCCCCCGGCAAGGAGAGAGGGCTCGGACAGTTCTTTGATGAATACTAGAGTGTAAACTTCACTCGGCTGAGTCCTGGTTCTGCTACCTACTAGCAGCGTGATGTAAACTGACACAATTAACAGTGAATGTCGCATTGAGCCAGTTCAAGAATCAAACTGGATCCTTTATGGCAGGAGTCAGCATTTGTCCTATGAAGGGCCAGATAGTAAGTATTTCTGACTTTGCAGGCTATATGGTCTCTACTAGTCAACTCTACTACTGAAGCATGAAAACAGCCATAGACTGTTTGTATGTATCTGTAGGCAAATAGGCATAGCTGTGTTCTGATAAAACTTTATTTACAAAAGCAGGCAGCGGGCTAGAGTGCCTTGGGAAAGGCTTAGACCTTTACAAACGGTACCTTCTAGGAACTTCTAGGTTGGATTGCAGTGTTGATGAAAAGGGACCACAAACTTGTTAACTACAAGCACTTCATGGCAGGTGGTCATGTCCTCAAGCAGCATTTTTCCCTAACAAAGGTCACCCTGCACCTGAACTAAACCTCTCTGTTGTCTTTTTGCATCTGGGGTAGCATATCTTACACACAAGCCTTCCGAATAACAAGCAATTTCCTTTTTTTCCAATCCCTCAGAGCAGCCACCAGCAGCACAGCCTGAGACCACAGGCCCCTCATTGTTATTGTTGTCATGTTAATTGTCGACTGTTAACCAGCCTGCACCCCACCTGTGTAAAAGAGCTGTGTGTCCACCATTTCACTTTTTATCCGAACCCAGAGGCTTCCCAGCTTTGCTTTCTCCTGCCTCCCT